CAGCAATATGTATCGGTTTACTATGATCGGGAGTAGTACTCACAGCATTAATATTAGCGCCTTTACTAACAAGAAACTTAGCAGAGCCTAAGTGACCTTGCAGTGCAGCATAGTACAGAGGTGTCCACCCATCTTGATCAACATCATCAACGCTAGCACCTTTGTTGAGTAAAAGATCTATTACATTTTTATTATCATATTGGGCAGCAACATGTATAGGCTTTCTATAACTAGCAGAACTATCCATAGCATTAATATCAGCACCTTTATCAATAAGGAACTCAGCAGTTCTTAAGGAGCCTCTCGATGCAGCATAATGCAGAGGTGTCCAACCATTTTTTTTATCAGCATCATTAACATTCATGCCTATGTTGAGTAAAAAACCAATAACATCTCCATGATCTCTCTGAGCAGCCATATGAATAGGTTTTCTACAATCGACCATAGTACTTATAGCATTAATATTAGCACCTTCGCCAACAAGAAACTTAACAACGTTTAAGTGACCTTGCCATGCAGCCCAATGTAAAGGAGTCCAGCCATTTCTATCAGGATCATTAACACTGACTCCATTATTGAGTAAAAATTCTATGATATTTTTATGACCTGCTTTAGCAGCAATATGTATTGGTTTATCATGATTAGCAGTGGTACTTACAGCATTCATATAAGCGCCTTTACTAACAAGAAATTTAAAAATGTCTAAGTAACCTTGCTGTGCAGCATAATGCAGAGGAGTCCAGCCATTGCCAGTAGAAATGTCATGAATACTAACACCTTTATGGAGTAAAAAATCTATCACATTTTTATTACCATATTGAGTAGCAATATGTATTGGCTTCTTATGATAGGTAGTAGTATCTACAGCATTAATATTAGCACCTTTTTCCGTAAGGTACTTAACTACATCTAACTTACCACTATAAGCAGCAAAGTATAGTGGAGTCCAGTGATAGTTACCTTTAAGGTTCACATCAAGATGTTTTTCTTCTATAAAATACTTTACTATATTTAGAGCACCTTTTTCTGCAGCTCTATGAAGAGAAGTATAGCCATATTTATCAGTTTTACGTAAGTCAGCACCTCTGCT